ATGGTTAACCCCCCCACCCCAAATTGTGCAAAGGGAAAGCAAATATTAAAAGATTTGAAAAATTCTCTTGTGTAATCCAAGTGCTGTTGTCCTTAAATTTTCACCACGCATGTGGCTATATCACTTTTGTTAACGAGATTAAACCTGTTACTAAATTGTTGGATCCAATCAGTCATCACAGCAGGAAACTGTCAGCTTTGCCTGAAGAGGACAGATTAAGAAGTGAAGGCAAGAATATTTTCTACTTCTTGGAATTCTGTAGGCAGGAAACAGTCACAGTAGTTGCGTAGCTTGATTGATGTGCTCTGTTTCACCTCTCTAGGATCTAATACTGTAATGGCTACATAGAACTCAGACAGAATTCATGATTCCAGGGTTCATTAAGGAAGCTAAGTGGTAATGCCAGTGAAAAGCTAAGAGCTGAGTTGTTTATTAGGCCATGCCACAAAATTCTTTTAAGTCAGCTAGTAAATGCCCAAAGGGGCATTCCACTTCCCTGTGAACCTCAACCTGAAGGCAATCAGGTTCACTTCCATGGGTCAGCAAATACAGCTCCCTGAGTTAAGCAGCAGACTCATCCCACTCTAGTGAGCCTCATCCTGAGGCACTCCACTCTGCAAGCCAATCTCCTGCACAGACACACTCAGCTCTGTGGGTTGGGAAGTCCATCACTGGTCCTTACTCTGGTTCCTGGTTTTGCTGCTGCTCCTTTGATGTTATAGCTGTCATCTGAATCCCAGGAGGTTCACTGCACAGGGATCTTGAGCTCAAAGGACATGCTTCACTCCTGACTCTTGCTGGTAATGAGATCCCTCCTGCTTCAGAGGGCTCACTTTACACCCAGCAGGATGGTACTCCAGAGAATCCTGTTGCAAATTCCAGGTGAATCCCATCAGTATCTTCCCTACTTTCTTACCAGACCCGTGCCGGAAAAGGTTGTATGGTGGGAGTTAGAGACTTTGATTAGAAAAGCCACATTAAATAATGCATGGCCCCTGTCGTAGCTACGTGCATCATGTTTCTAAGAATAGAATTATTCCTGCAATAGCTCAGAAGATCAGAACATTGGAAGGAGCTCCGGAAGCAGAACTGCCTCAGTTTCAGAGGGTGGGTCTGAGGCTTCGGAGATCTCAAAGGGGAAGCTGAGTCTCCTATGTTTCAGCTCTTCACCAACGTGGGACTACCATTTAGTTAGACTAAGAGGGCTCCTGCCAGAGCTGAGGACACAAGGCTTTTATGCCCATGGCCAGGAGTTTGACGTGGCCACTTAAGTAGAGTAGTAAAATAGGACCACCCAAAGTTGAAGGAGCAGAGTAGTCATCCCAGTGAACCTGGAAGGTCGAGCTGAAGCCCAGGGCTGAGGGATCCACCTAAAATCCAGAAGGCACAACCCAGAACCCTAAGAAGAGAATTGTCTTCCAGTTTTGAGAGCAAATGTAAATCGTTGGTTGTACACTGGCTTGGTGCCCACTTTCTCTCTTTTGCTCCAATTTCTCTCATTTGTAATGGAAATGCTTACGTTTGTTCCTCTATTGTACTGTGGAAATAAAAAATTTGTAGTCTAGATTTCATAGGTTTATGAGTGAAGAGGGATATTGCCCTAGGATAGAATACACTTAATCTCACCCACATTTGATTTAAATGATTCAGAAAGCGATTTTTGGATTTGGAGTTAAGAGTTTGGGGATTATAAGGATGGGATGAGTGCGTTTTGCATATGGGCAGGACATGAATTTTGGGGCCAAAGGATGGAATGTTAAGAATTGCATTGTGTTCTCCAGAAACCCATGTTGTCGGTGTTAACCTCTAGGCCTCGGGATGTGCTGTCTTTGTTATGCTAGTGAGGCTGGCTCCTGTATGATGTGCCCGCAGTCAGTTTCTTTTGCTGTATGACACAATCTCAACAGAAGTTAGCCGAAGCAGCGCTGGCAAACCACGTGAAGATGCTCAGGCGCAGAAGCCCTCCCTGGACGAGGGCCTTCCTCTAGCACTGACAGAAGAAAGCCTTCCTCTAGAACGAGCACCCTACATTCAGACATCTTGCTTCCAAAGCTGTGAGAAAATCATTTTTTGTCCACTGAAGCCATAGATAATGTTTTTGTCCATTGAAGCCCTAGTGGCGTTAGATAACCAAAACAAAGTACTTGCTCACCTGCTGCTGGTACCTCTGCCATGAAGGGGAGTGACTGTTAGGACTGAGCTCTGTGAGCAGCTGCTGGTCATACTTCTGACAGCACATTGAGACTAGCTTGGTGAACGCTCAAAGAAGCTAAAGATGGAAACCCACTGCGGTTGCTGTCTGAATGCATTGCCAGAGGAACAGGAAGCCATTGGGCAGTAGCTCCTGACTAGCACCTAGCAAATTGATTGATAATCACAATAGCAGTGCCATTTTAAATGGCTGGACTTCAAAGTCTTTTTTCTCACATCCTTATTTGATTTTCACACCAATCTTAAAATTAGGTTAAGTGTTAATTATTCTCATTTCGTAGATGAACTCGTTGACCCTCACAATGGTTAATTAATTTTTTTCTCTAGATTTTCTTACAGATAAGTAATGTGACTTGTAATTTTAATTCTAGTGCTTTTCCCATTCAACTTTAATCTCCTATTTGAAGTAATTGCTTTGTAATACTTAATTGGAGCCGCTTGATGGTACAAATAGTTAATGAACTTGGCTATTAATTGAAAGATTGGTAGTTACAGTGCACCCAGATATGCCTTGAAGTCCGATATTTGCGTCAGTAAAACCGTCCATTGAGAACTTTTTGGAGCAATGTTCTGCTCTGGCACCTAGGAGTTGCAATGCATTAGAATCTACGAAGTGGTGACCTGTTTTTTTAATTTTAATCTTTTAAGTAATATCTAATTACTAAAGAAGTAATTATTTAGCTTATTCAAAGAATTATTGAGTGATGTAGTTGGGGGAATCATATGTCCTCGTTAGCCTGGCATACTCCTAATTTAGGCCTGTTGTCTGTTGTAGTTAATGGTAGTATTCCCTTTCACGCTCAGTGTCCTGATCCTCCAAACTCACTGTCACCATGTCCATTCAGGCTTTGACTGACCCTATAGAAAAGGAGAGAACTGTCCTATGAAGCAGCTGGTGCTTTCGAACAGCTGACCTTGTTAATGGCCCAAGTTATAACCATTATGCCACCAGGGCTCTCCGTAAAGAATGAAGAACCACGTTCCCCCCTAAACAAAAACAGAACCTGCTGCCATTGAATACTGCCCCTAGACATACTAAAAAAAACCAAACTTATTTATAACGGAAGATACTGCTTCCTAAGTATGAGATTTATATGTGCTTTTTAATAAATTCAGGTGGAAAACTCACCTAACTAAAAACCTTTCATCTTAATTATGTGAGGGCCTGAGATACATACTGTAATTGCAGTATTTTGGTGTAGGATACTCATGGTGACTTGGGACAGATGAAGAAAAGAGATACTTATTTCTAATGAACACTTTTTTTCCCTTCCCTTTTTAAAAATCTCTTTGTGTGTGCCTGCCTGTAACCTTGGAGGCTGTGATGGGATTTTTGTTCAGATAAACATTATGGCTCAAAATGTATGTATATACATATATATAATATATAATAAATAGATATATATTCTTCCTGTGAATATTACTGAAGAGCCTAGCCTAAAGTTTAATTGTCACTCCTGGTGGTAAAGCGGGTTATATTCTGGGCTGCTGACCACGAGGTCAGAGATTTGACTCCACCAGCCACTTTCTGAGAACAATGCGGTTCTTCCTCCCATAAAGGTTTAGAGCCTCCGAAATGCCTCGCTGCAGTCCTCATCTGCCTTCCAGGGTGCTCTGAGTTGGAATCCACTCTGCAGCATGGACTTGGCCAAAACCGTGTGTTGTGTTGTGTATTCCTCATCGCTCTTGCCACATTGTTTAAGTCAGGAAGCAAAAGTTCATGGGTAATGAGTAACTTGCTTAGTTAGTAGGAACAAAAGATTTTATGCCAAAGTCTGTCTGATTCCAAAACTCAGCATATTACATTGCAAATCCCATATTTTAAGTGTTCTCTGAGTCTGCAAATTTAGTGTACTTTATGTTCATTTTTATAGCTTATAAGAATGAAAATATAGTAGTCTCAATCTACAAAGCAATTATATTAAAATTAAACCTCTAGTTGACTGATTAATAGAGTAAATTAAAATATAAGGAAAGGTAATGGACCTTACATAGATATTTAAATATAACAAGTTTTATCCTTTACAAGCTTTATGTGTTATAGACTATCTCAAAAACAAAATATTTCCACTGATTATTTTAAAATTTAGTTCCTAGGATTTCTACCAGAATATCTGTATCATAGGATTCTAGGTCTGTAAGAGTAACTTTTGTAGCTTCTGGTACTATCATTTTAATTTTATACCCCTTCAGTGTTTAAATTTGGGAAATACAAGATGTGCAAGGATGTTTTAAATAATGTAGATGTGAAGAAAAGCGGTTAAAAATGTAAAACACTGTGGGGAGGATTGACAGGTAGTTACTCATTTTTCATTTTGTCACCTGAGAACATTAAAGAGAATCACATTCTAACTCTAAAAATTTAGGATATAACTTAACGAATAATTCTCTAAAGCTTTTAGCTTTATGAAAAAGATGTTGTATTTTCTTCATTTCTTTTTGCAAAGTTCTTGATTTTTATACAAAGGGGCAACCTATTCTGGACATTATTTAAATCTATATTGTGATTAAAGCTGTTAGTGGAAAGGACCATTCGGAAAATTAGAATTTTAACTATGCTGAAATAATTGTGAATTTTATCTAACCATAATGTGCCTTTATACTTAAAATGAGCTGTTGTGTAATGAATGTATTGTACTTAAAATGTATTTATTCTGACTTTATAGAGCTTTTGTGTGGCATTGCACCAGGAACTCAAAGAATACTACCGATTACTCTCAGTTTTACATTCTCAGGTAAATATTTTCTTTTTAATTTATTCTTGGTTTCAAGTTTAACAAGAATTTCAGTTATCTGAACTGTTTTTAATTTCTTCAAACATTATTTTTGAAAGATAAAATGTTTGTTAGTATGAGCAAGCTACAAAAAGTTCACTGTCTTTTCGTTTTCCCATGTTTTTTGAAACCCAAGCATGCTGTTTGTAAAGTATGTGTAACTGTAAAATTCCGTTGTGCCATTCCATTGCTGAAAGCCAATTCAGCAATCATTTTCAGAGTTCTGTATATTTGAATGGATCAGAAGGAACTAGAAATAACTATTATTCTCCAAAAAGGGGACCTCTTGCTTCATTTTCAAAAGCATCACTTTCTCATATTATTTTATGTGGATTAAGAAATGACATGATATATTTAGTTACTTCTATTTAAAAATTCTAATTTTTCCCCCAGCTACAGTTAGAGGATGATCAGGGTGTCAATGTGGGCCTTGAGAGCAGCTTAACCCTTCGACGCCTCTTGGTTTGGACATATGACCCTAAAATAAGACTGAAGACCCTTGCTGCTCTGGTGGATCACTGTCAAGGTCAGTTTTAAATTGTTGGTGCCGATTAGACTTTGTTTCAAAACCATTCTTAGGGCACATCATCCACTTGTTTTTGTGGCCCTCATTTTTGGTATAGTTTGACTATCATAAGTAGACTGATTGAAAAAACTTAAAGGGAAAATAACCAGTTACCAATGTAGTATGATATTTATACTTGTAAAAGCTTAGCGTTTCATTGACATGAAGAAAGAGGTAGTGTTGAGCTTGTAGAGGTCTTTCTCTTTTGTGATCCCTGGTACTGTACGTTCTTACTAGTATCTTTAGCCAAATTCTTCCATTACCTCTTAAGAATATGTCCTCTGGTTTCATTACTTTGCTTTCATTCCTTATATGCCTGTGTTCACCATATGGTTGTTAACGTTCTCATTTTTGCTTGTCTAGCATACATGTGGAAAAACCTTAGGGATGCAGTCAAGTGCTAGGCTGAAGAGTCAGTGTTTCGAAACCACCAGAGCTCCCTGAGTGAGATAGGTGGCAGCGTGTGTCTGTAGTAGTATGGGAAACCCCATGAAGCCATTCTGCTCTGCCCTGTGGGGTCTCTGTGAGTTGGGATCAACAGTGGATTTGGTTTTTGGTTTTCAGCTTTTACCTCCTCTGAGTACTTGCCTTGTGAATATCGCTTCTGGCTGTTTGTGTTGCTGCAGTGGCATTGAAATTGACAAGAATTTTTGCGTAGTGTGTCACTGAGGACTGAAGTGCACATGACCTAAGTCATGGTATTTTCAATTGGCCTCTGCATGTAGTAGGTGGACAGTGAGTAAGGAAGACCATAGAAAAACGGATGCCTTTCTAAAATTATGGTTATTGAGTATACCACCGAGTGCTAGAAGAACAACAGATCTGTCTTGAGAAGAGTTCAGCTCAAGTATCCCTTAGAAGTGAGGATGGCAAGACTTAGTTTCATGTACTTTGAACATGTTATCGAATGGGACTGGTCCCGGAGAAGTACGTCATTCTGGACAAACAGGGTCAGCAAACGATGAGATGGAGTGACTCAGTGGCTGCATCGGTGGCGTCAAACATAACCACTGAGGGTGGTGCAGAACTGGGCAGTGTTTCTTTCTGTTGTAGACAGGCTCGCTGTGATTCTGAACGACTAGATGGTACCGACCGGAAACAAAAGGAATCGCAACAAGGACTTTCCTCATTTCCCAAACTGAGTTCAACATCATGCCACCCAGGGCCTGCCTTGGCTTCTCTGCTGGAACTCCCCCTTTCAAAAATGAGATCAAACTCAATAAGCAGACATTTGCCATGTGGTGTCATTTACTGGCATTCTTGTCATTGTCTCTCATCTCTTAGAATACCCAGTTAGTGAAGGCCTATTCTTCCTTCATGTTTCAGATTTTTGCCCCTCTCTCCCTAACACTTTTAATCTATATGCATTTTGTATCTTCCCCATATGTACCATTTTTAAGAGGTTCTAATTTCTCTCTTTTAAATCTTACCATTTTTGTGCACTAATGCCAGAAAAATCTTATTAAAATCAGATCATGCCAATCTTTTCTTAAATTTTTTTTATAAATCATGGGTTCTTATTATAATATAAGAAACCCTTCATATGCTATTTTTATACCTGATTTTAACCACTCCCAATATTTCATACTGAATTATTTTCACAGTACATAGAATACTGTTATTCATTCAGAGCATTGTTTTTCGAACTGTGGGTTACAACTGGCAAGTTGTAGGTTGTGAATTGATAGGTGCAGACTTTTTTAAAAAGTGAAAGGAGTATAGGCTTTTGAAACATAATAGAAACGATTACAATAGTATTGTTTCATAAGCTTTTGCTTATTTGCTTGTGTGTGTGTGTTTGTACCGAGTTGCTATATATAAAGTGTGGATGTTAATTTGTCCTGATTAAAAATGAGGAAAGGCCATGTTAATTCAAGATTATATGAAGGGGCTTCAAAAAGTCTGTGGAAAAAATTTTGAAGCTCCCTCCTATAGTGAGACACATTTTTTGCTACTTAGTAACTGTTTAGCACTAATGAACAAGTAGGTATCTTGTATAAATTCATGGTAAGCCAGAGTTAGAATTTTAATCTTTTAGATCCAAATCTGTAACATAATTATTGCTTCTTCTAGGCCCAAGAAATACTGGTTTTTTTAAACTATTAAGAAAACAGACTTCATCCCAGTAACATTCTCATCTTTGACTAGTATTGTTATTGTTAAATATTACAACTTTAAAGTTGTATAATGTTTCATCTTTTTTCCCTTCCCCCAAGGAAGGAAAGGTGGTGAACTGGCATCTGCTGTCCACGCTTATACAAAAACCGGGGATCCGTATATGAGATCTCTGGTTCAGAACATCCTCAGCTTGGTCTCTCACCCTATCCTGACGTTTCTTTACCGTTGGATATATGATGGAGAGCTGGAAGACACATACCATGAAGTAAGTCAATATCACAAGATGCATAGTTTGGACTTATAAAAAGTATGGGAAGTGCAATTATTCTTTTTGGACTTTTCAACTATTACTTTACCTCTTAACAGTAATATTATCACACTTATTTAAGTGGCATGCATATTTTCCCCAGGGCTCTGAACATCAGGTGTCTCATTTAATAGGAGCGCTGTCTTTGGTTGTTGACAAGTGTTACCTGTTTTAGTAGTGAGAGACTTGAGCCCCAGCATGTCCAAATCTTGTGCCAAGTTTATAAGCAAGTTGATGACAAAGCAAGGACTAGAGAGTGTTAGTATAAATTTCTTTGCAGTAAAGTATTAATGGCATTACATTGTATTGTGTGGTAGCCTGGGCAGAATAGAGAAACAAATCCATGGACACACGTATGTAAGAAAGAAATTTATATATCAGAGGAATTGAACATTGAGAAAGCATCCCAACCCAGTCCAGTCCAAGTCCATAAGTCCGATACTAGCCCATATGTCTGACACCAATCTATAAAGTCCTCTTCAGACTCACAAAACACATCCAATGACGCCGATTGTAGAAGATCACAGGCCAGTGGGTAGAAAGTCTTTGGATCCAGTGGCATTAGAAACATCTCAACGCTGGCAGGGGTCTCTGCATCAGGGTGGGTCCATGTGTCTTGTCAGTTGCTATGTCTTCCAGGGTGTGTGCAGAGAGTCTCCCACCTCCAAGGAGGAAGTACTGGGTTTCCCAGAATTCTCAAGAGAAGGCCTTGCCCACACAGGCCTCATTGGCTATGATCTGATTGACAAGCTAGACTCCACCCCTATACTCTTAATCCTCAAATTGACAAATGATTATATATCTGTCACATATTGTATGATTACTTTGAAAATTCACTTTGATTAATTGTGATGCTAAAAGTTTTAAAGACGCAAGTTATTTGTGTGAATATGTACTTCCCAAAATATAGTCAATCATGCTTGTAAGCATGTGTTTCTAAAAATCACTGTGCTATGCCATATCACAAACTGAAACCAGTGGACTTTATGGTAAAGGTAGGATAAGGATACCATACTCCCCAACTTTGGTAGTGATATTATAAAGGTGGAAGGGTAGAAACCCAAGAGAAGTGGTAGCGTAGTTTCACCTGTGCAAGAATGACAAACACACATTCTAGAAGAAGTATGGACTTTACCTGGAAAATGCCTATTGCTTGCCTTTGGAAGTGACCTTTGGAAGGGTGCAGCTTGTGCGTTACTGTGAATTGCTAGAAATCAGAAGAAAGGCTACAACACCAGATACGAATGGGTGTCCCTGGTAACGCACCTAATGTGAGATTGCTGGTAGATTTTGAGGTTTGCTGTATTCCTAAGTAGATCACTTCAAATGGATATAGCTTCCTGCATCCACTTAGTGTGTTTGACCTTAACACAGATTTCATCAACAAACATGAAATTCGCATTAATCTCCTACAGTTTCATTGTAATATGGCACAAGTCTTTGTTTTTAACAAGCATTGTAGCTGAACTGACCATATGGTATTGCTATGTGAGTATAAGCTTTTGAAAACATAAATGCTGTAGCACTATTTATTGTCATGAATTTTATACATACTGTATATATGTGAAAATTTGCATGATTACTTTGTAAACTTCCTGTTTCTTCCCGTGACGGTATATAAATAGTACTGAGGAACTCTGGCATAGCGGGGTAGTTGCTGTGTCAGACTCACTAGCTATAATGCCAGAGAAAGATGAGGCTGTTTGCTCCCATACAGTTCTACAGTTTTCGCCACCCTGTGTAGCTGTTCTTCTGTGTCCTATAAGGAGGTTTTGAGTTAGAATCAACTTGATGGCAATGGGTTTGATTTGGGGATTTATATTTATTTTACTGATTTGCTTGTTATTTTACTCTATGGGCATAACCATTTTTTAAATGGAGCTACTATCCAGATGATGGAAAATGAAGTTTTTTTCTTCTAATTTTTAACAATAAAATGACTATCATTTTATGTGCTTCCTTATAGGGAATCTGATAGAGACCTTTGAATTTCTCTAACTTAGAGAAATTGGAACGTGTAATTGATGGGTTATGAGGAATGTGTACTACAGAGTTTGATCATGCCACTTGAGCTCTGGAGTGGCCCTATCAGTTTATCTTCCACCCTTGCTAGCATGTCATGTTACCTACCTTTTGTAAAAATGCTTTTCATCTAGTATATGATATACAGCCTCTTATTCATCAGCACTTATAATTCAGGATACTTATAAGTTCAGGATGAAGTTGATGAAAATTAAAATAAGTCCATGAGAGCCAAAAAGACAGGAAAGAAAGATCAAAGTGGATGTTAGAAGAGACTTTGAAACTTGCTCTTAATCTTAGAGTTGCTAAGGCAAATGGAAGAAATGAGAACCGAACAGAAAATTTCAATGAGCAGCTGAAGAAGACAAAGTAATATAAACTGAAGAAAAGATTTAAGCCTCAAGTTGCAATACTGAAAGATTCTATGGGCAAAATATTGAACTATGCAGGATGATGTATCAAAAGAAGATCAAAAGAACATACAGCGTCACTGAACCACAAAGAACTAGTTGACATTCAGTCATTTCAAGAGGTAACATCTGGTCAAGAATCAATGGCACTGAAGGAAGGGGCATAGTGCACTGAAGGCATTAAACCACAAACAAGGCTCCAGGGGTTGATGGAATACCAAATGAACTGTTTCAACAGCTGATAAAGCACTGGAATCACTCACTCCTCCATGTCAATACATTTGCAAGACAGTTTCCTGTCCAACACATTGGATGAGATTTGTATTTTTCCATTCCAAAGAAACGTGACCCAACAGAATATTGCAAATTAAAGAACAGTATTATTGATATAACATGCTAATAAATTTTTGCTGACGATCATTCAACAATAGTTGTAGCAGCACATTGTCTCAGAGTTGCTAGAAGTTCAGGCCGAATTCAAAAGGCGGATATGGAACAAGAGGTATCATTACTGACATCAGATGAACCTAGGCTGAAATCAGAGAATACTAGAAAGATGTTTACTTGTGTTTCATTTACTGTGCAAAAGCATTTGACTGTGTGGAGCATAATTATCTGGATAACCCTGAGAAGAATGGGAATTCCAGAACACTGCATTGCGTTCACTTGGAACTTATGGTTTAAAATGAGGAAAAGTGTGCATTAGGTGTTTATCCTGTTGTCATACTTGTTTATTCTATGTACTGAACAAATTAGAGAAGCTAGACTATCTGAAAAAGAACATGGCATCGGGATTAGAAGAAGATATAGTAACAACGTGCGATATGCGACAGTGCACCCCTTGCATTGTTGAACATGAGGAGGGTTTGAAGCACTTGCTCATAAAGGATTGCAACCTTCAGTATGGATTGTAACTCAATGTAAAGAAAACAAAATCCTCTCAACTGGACCAATAGGTAACATCATGATAAATGGGAAAAAGGCAGAAGTTGCCCAGGATATTGTCTTGCAGTGATCCACAGTAAGTTCTCTTGGAAGCAGCAGTCAGAAGATCAAGGGGTGCACTGATTTCAGTAAATCTGTTGCTCAAGCCCTCATTACAGGTTGTAAAGCAAGGCTATTTCTTTGAGGACGGAGATGGGCCTGACTCAAGCCCTCATAGGCGTTTGAAAGTTGGACATTGAATATGGAAGCTTGAAGAATTGATGCATTGGAGTATGGTGCTGGAGGACATTGGAAGTACCATTGACTGTCAAAGAGCAAACAAATCTATCACGGAAGAAGTACAGCCAGAATGTTCATTAGAAGCAAGGTTGGCAAGACTTCGTTTCTAGTACTTAGAACCTGTTATCAGGAGAGATTAGTCCTGGAAAAAGACACCATGCTTGGTAAAGTAGAGGGCCAGAGAAAGGAGGCAGATACTTAACCAGATTGATCAACACAGTGGTACAGCTGTGTGTTCAAACATGAGCAATTGTGAGAATGGAGCAGGACTGAGCTTTGCTTTGTTCTGTTGTAAACTAGGGTTGCTGTGCATCGAAACCAACTCCATGGCACCTAACAGCAACATTCCAGTGTTCATTAGCATTTCCTTGTACTTATGAATATAGAATGAGTTGTCATTAAAGTTAACAAATTTTTTATGGCATTGTATATTGAATTTATAGATTAAGAATTATTATGCTTCCTCTGTTCCTTTTGTGAAATTACTCTCTTTTGGAATATGAATTAAAAGCTTTGAAAAGTTATATGTTTTTATTTTGTTAGTATATGTCTTTTACTTTTTCAGAAGGAGTCCTGGTAAGCGTTGAACTACTAACCATAGGGTCAGCGGTTCTAACCCCCTAGCCCACCAGCCACTCTTTATGAGTCAGGATTGTCTTGATAGCAGTGGGTTTGGTTTGGGTTGTACATTTTTCAAAGCTTTATTAAAACTATATTTTCCCCCAAATATCGAAGTTAATAGTGAACTAGTTTCAATCTTTGGAACCACTCTTTTCCACTTAAGAGGAGGAATATTAGCACCTGTCCCAGATTCTTCTCTGCCATGTACGAACTTGATCTTTATATCTTTTGCATAGATCTCAATTGTTTTATAGGTTTTTAATTTTTTTACATACAGTTTAAAACATTTCTTTTACGAGTTTGTAAAAAGTTTACTTTGTCTTATATCTACTGGTATTTTTAACCACTAAACTCATTAGTAACATTTTTTTTCCATTTTAGTATCAATTTATTATACTCTAAAAGTCCTAATGAAAAGCTATGTCCATCTTTTACTGGTAACATTTACTCGACACTGCAAATTTTTATATTTAAAAAAAAAATCATTTCATTGGAGGCGTGTGCAACTCTTATCACAATCCACACATCCATCCATTGTGTCAAGCACATTTGTACATTTGTTTCCATCAGTTTCATTTAGTAAAATTTTTTAATGTATGTATGCTTATGGAAAAATGCACGAATAATCGCTATATCACTTAACAACTTATTAGAAAACGAGGGCAACAAATGTACAAATGT